AATCTCCATGGGGGGAAGGGTAAAAAGGTATTGCTATTTTTATTTGGAATATACTTTATTTGTGGTTGAATTTACTTGAAACTTGATATATATATATGCTGTTTGATATTATTAATCAAATGAAAAGATGTTGCAACGTTTCCATGAGGTATATTTTATTTGTACTCGGATTTTACTCGAAAGTTGCTCTTTGTTAAAATTGAGTAAATACGTGTTTTGACAATTTTTAAAAATCAACCCTTAAGGATGAAATGTTGTTGCTACGTTTGTATTTGAAATCTAAGATGGCGACATTACATAAAATTAAAACGTTGTAAGGGTGAATTGAGAGTTAAAATGTTTTATGGAGAAACAATATTAATTTCTAGGAGCGAAGCCGCAGGGAAAAGCTAGTAATGAAAAAAAAAACATGGTACTTTTATTATTTCCAATGAGAAATTAGTCGTGCGTACCTACATCCCAAAACGCATCCAAATCGTCTTTTAACTTTACTTGTGTTTGTACTAATAATAATTTTTTACTAGCAACAATATGGTATGTAGTATTACTTTCTTAATTTCTTTTCCAGTCTCTCTCGGAGGATTATGTACAGGTACTATAGTAGGATGGACTGGGAACATATCAAAGGATCTGGAAAATGGAAATTTCAATAATATTCAGATAAACGACGGCAGTCTGGAGTGGATAGGATCTCTGATTAACATAGGAGGGATGCTTTCATGTATTGTTATAGGACCAATGTGTGATTTTTTTGGCAGAAAACTGGGAATGCTGCTTCTGGTCATTCCTTTTACATTAGGATGGCTCCTAGTCATATATGCCAAGAACATTGAAATGATTTACGCAGGGAGGCTTATGGGTGGTTTTGCAGGGGGTTGCTTTTGCTTGTCGGCACCACTGTACATTTCCGAAATATCACAGAAACAAATCAGAGGAGCATTATCAACTTTATCCGAACTCTTATTGGTTATTGGGATTTTGATAGCGTTTATAATAGGATACATGGTTGGTGCTAAAACAACTGCGATTGTTTTAGCGACACTACCACTGATTTTCTTCTTAGTGTTCCTGACACAACCGGAAACGCCTTATTACCTGCTAAAACACGATAGAGAAGATGTAGCCTTAAAGAATTTGCAAAGATTGAGAGGAAAATCTTACGATGTTTTCAAAGAACTTAAGCAAATACAGCGCGACATCGAAGAGGAGAAAGTTCATGAGTTACCGCTTTTCCAATCGTTCAAAAAAAAGGAAACAAGAATGGCGACATTCCTATCGATTGGTCTTATGTTTTTTCAGCAAGCTTCAGGCTCCGCAGCTTTTGAAACCTATACTTCCAGCTTTTTTCACGAAGCTCACATTAACGAATCAGTATTAAGTTCGGAAGCATCGACGATTGTTATTGGCGCATTACCGATTTTATCCAATTGTATTTCAATAATCTTAATCGACCGTTTGGGGAGACGAACACTCCTTGTTATATCAGGTTTTTTTATGGCAATAACGGAAATTCTTCTAGCTATATATTTTACCTTTAGAGAAAGAGAAGTGATTTCTTCTGAAACCCTTCGCATATTCCAGTTTGTACCGTTAATTTGTTTAGGTATATTCATTATTTCATTTGAAATAGGATACGGACCTGTAGCTTGGATAAGTTCTTCAGAAATGTTTCCAACAGAAGTGAGGAGTCTACTTACAGCAGGCACTGGCGCATTCAGTTGGTTTATGGCTTTCTTGATAACAAAATTTTATTTAAATATGAACGACAGTTTGGGAATTGATGTAACATTCTACATTTTTGCCGCGATTATGGTCGCCGGTACAGCATTTCCTTATTTGTTTTTGCCAGAAACAAAAGGTAAATCTTTGGTGGAAATTCAAAGAGATCTGAGAAAGTAATAATGCGGAAATAACTCACATTGATAATTTGAAACATAATTCGAGTGTCGACAAAAATTTCATTATTATTTTTAAAGATTGATCAAAAGATCATAGTAATTCATTTACATATAATCCTTTGATCCTTATCATTATACATTCTACATAAATGTAACTCATTATGAATGATTGAATGCAATTATTTTCTGTTCAACATTAGAAGTCTTTTAGTTCTGAGGTCGATTTCTGTAAAACACATTTTTTTTTTAAAGAAATAGTTTATGAATTGAATTGGGACATTTTATCGAAAATCAGTGCGAAATTTATCAGTAATATAATTAATTAGTAACTAATTTTGGTAAAGGTCTAAATGATAGTGGGGAGGATCGAAAGAGGAGGTCTCCCACACCACTATACCATAAAAAATTCGTGGCGGTCTCACCCCCATAAAAAGTTATGGGGGTTTAAAGTTAATAAATATGGCAATTTTTTTACATTTCTAGGCATGTAAATATTTATATAGTCATTCTTAAACAATTTTCAAAGGTAAAACTAATGAAAAATACATAAAAATATTGAGAAAGTTATATAAAACATTATTTAAATATCTTTATCAATAGGGTAGGTTAGGTTACGTTATCGAGTTTTGTTCAAGTGACCACCCTCTTTCGATCCCCCACCTCCATCCGCTTGAAAATATTTTTTTATTGAATTTTATTTGAATTATAGTGTATGAAAATTGACAAAATAATCAACTTTCAATTCCCATAACTTTTTATGGGGGTGAGAGCGCCGCAAGTTTTTCATGGTTTTACTCAGGTAACCTCCCTATGTCGATGCCCCCTACCCTCTTTCGATCCCCCCTTTCCCCACCCCTTTTGTCAAAATATTCAACTTTGAACCGCCATAACTTTTTATGGGGGTGAGACCGCCACGAATTTTTTATGGTACGGTGGTGGGGGAGACCTCCTCTTTCGATCCCATCATCTAGACATTGACCCTAATTTTAATTGTCAAATAAACGTTAATTATTCATTTTTTTATATAGTAAATTAAATAAAAGGTTGACATATTTAATAAACGGCAGCGGCAGTAACGCGTGCAATGGTTTTGCTACAGTATAGTGACGTCACGCGCTCTCTACAAGGTCAGAAGCATTTTCAATTTCGGCAGCTTTTAAAATGCTGTAACGATTTTAAAAAGGATTTTTAGACAGAAGACAAAAAATTTAACTAAATAAGTCGTATGCGTAGATTCCAAATATGATATAATAAAACGATTTCATGTCCTAACCCAATTGATTAATAAAAATATATAAGGAAACTGTGACAAAATAAATAATTAAACCAGGGGAATATATTCCAAATACCGCAACACTAAAAAAAATGAAGGAGACACTTATTTGCTTAAAATGGGATAAGTACTACTCTTGGTTTAATGAAATGTTTAACTTTTTATGTTGGAAGTCCATGAATGAAATGGGAAGAGAAAAAGGCATGCAAATAAATTTTTAAATAGTAAACTAATTATACAATTTTAGGAAGTAAGACATTTTCTCATTAAATATTACTGTAGAATGTAGATAAATAAACACCTTTTTACTTGTCCACTAGTTTTTTTTTTAGTAGGATAGGAACATTATTTAGCCTATAATTTCAACCTAAATAAAATTCCTACAGTATCCAATAGTAGTGGTTCGTATTGACGTAAACTATATTAATGTCTATCAAGCTAACACACCCACACCACAAAAACACAAAACGATTTACATTACAAGACATTACGTAAAATGTAATTTTTGTCAATTTCCGGAAAGCAATAATAATTTTTATGTTCATTGATAAGTTTCAAGTAGAGGTGTCAAGTTCAGCGGTCGCGTGACTAAATTTAAAATTTAAGTCACCTTTTCTACGTGCAGCACATTCTTTTATTTTGTACTCTTGGATAAAATTTTAGGATACTAGTGACAATTTGACTGTTTTTTTCATCTTCAACTTTTCTGCAAAACTATCAGAACCAATCGAACAAATTCTTTGTATATGAGGCGCACAACTGCTGCTTAAAGCGTCAATGGTCAAAATGTATGGGGAGTTACAAGAATTAAAAGCCTTTTACATTCAATTCTTTCTTTATTCAAATTAAACAGCTTCGAATAATTTTCATTTGTGAATGATTTTCTAGGAATTAGTAACTTCTCTCTTACCACCCTATCTCCCAGTGTTATGATTTATTTGCATCATTCAAAATTACGTTACCTTTTTCATTTTTTATCTTGTTTATTAATTACGCTTAAGTGTAAATAGTACCAATTACTAAATGATTTGTTAGTAATAAGTAACAGCCAAAAAGTAACGCTGAACATGATGTAGAATATTTGCTCCAACGCAGCAGCGATGAAAATCTGGCGTCTCATTTTTCTTTTTTAATATTATCATTAAAACTTTCCTAATGGCTTCCTTATAGATACCTAATGCTTTAATACTATCTACCTATCTAATTCGAAATTCGAAACATCGTTACTCAACATTACCGATTGAAATTACAATTCGTATGTTAAAATTATAAATCTCTAATTGGAATTTGATTAAACACTTAAAATCGATCCTATTTTCTTCCAAATCGCTTAAAAATTTTAATAATATTCATTTCAAAAGAAAATATCTAAAATTTTTAAAAAAACAACGAGCTGAACACAAAAAGGTATTAAATTGTTTTTCGGAATTTTGCCTAAAATTGCATTTTACTCAATGCTACGTAACTTAAGACAAAACTATACTTTATATTCGCATACAGCGACCCAAAATACATAAAAAGTAGCTACTAGGACGACATGACAGTCAGCATTTTCACTTTCTTATAAACCATTTTTCAACAACCTCCCGCTCGCCTATATATGTTAGATACTCAAATGCATGTGTTATACATAAGCAGATAATATACTTATACAATAAGTTTACGTAAAGTATTTAAAACGTACCATACAGTTATTATAATATTGCCTAATTAAAAATAAAATGGTAAATTAAAACACTTACAGTTCCTCGAGATGCACGAAAGCGTCCAAAGTGTTTTCGTACAAATGGGTGATGTTATTGCTCGTAAGGTCCCTGAAACAAATGGAACAGTTACTGAAAATGTCGCCATCAAATCCAAATTCAGCGAGCGCGTCACTTAAAACGACACCCAGACAAACACGCCTAACACACGAGCATACAAACGCACACAATCACAATTGTGTAACTGCGAACGTTATGTATTCTGGATATGCCGTCACCCACATTTGGTCAATATATCACTTTAATTGAATCGCGATATTACAACAACGCAATGGCAACGGCAACCTGTGACAGAATTGATGCGGGATTTAGTAATTGCTCTACTACCTCGTACAGTGGCTGACAGTGAGAACTAAAACGAATATCTACCTATTAATAACAGTTGTCTTCATTAAGGAAATTCGGCGGTTTCATGAAACACACGAGAATTTGATGATTCTTTTAGAAAGGTTTTAGAAAGTTGTCAGTACTGCGTTTGGGGGGTCAAGGAGGTCTCAGGAGTAGCTGCAGCTCCGAACCCGGTGGTTGAAGTTTTCATATTTATAAAGCTGTTGGTAAATGTCTAGATGATGGCCCCCACCCCCGGGTAGATGGGATCGAAAGAGGAGGACTCCCCCACCACTGTACCATAAAAAGTTCGTGGCGGTCTCACCCCCATAAAAAGTTATGGGGGTTAGATGGGGTTGGAGGTAGGGGGGATCGAAAGAGAGTAGGGGGGATCGAAAGAGGGTGGTCACCTGAGTAAAACCCCATAAAGAATTGCGGCGGTCTCACCCCATAAAAAGTTATGGGGGTTGAAAGTTGATTATTTTGACAATTTTCATAAACTATAATTCAAATAAAATTCAATAAAAAAAATATTTTCAAGCGGGTGGAGGTGGGGGATCGAAAGAGGGTGTCTCTTGAACAAAACCCGATAACCTAACCTAACCTACCCTATTGATAAAGATATTTAAATAATGTTTTATATAACTTTCTCAATATTTTTATGTATTTTTCATTAGTTTTACCTTTGAATATTGTTTAAGAATGACTATATAAATATTTACATGCCTAGAAATGTATAAAAATTGGCATATTTATTAACTTTGA